GCCGCCCAAAGGCAAAACCCAGGTGAGAGACCAGAAGCGGGAGCAGCCCGTGGAAAGACTTCCCTGAAGGGCCACCTCTTCGAACTTTTAACACTGCGTAGGGTTAGTATGAAATCTGTCAGAAAAAGTAAAATGAGAACAATTTCTGACACCTGTGAGAAAAAGGGCTTGGAGGGCAGGGGATGGCAGGGAGGCGGAAGAGAGGGCAGAGAGGGTGAGCGCTGGGATACACAGCAGGGTAAGTGTGTTGAATGAATCTGTTTTCTGGTTCTTTATGGCTGAGTAATATTCCATTTTATAGAAAAACCACATCTCCTTTATCCAGTTTCCAACTGATGGGCAAAGGGGCTGTTTCCAAGTTTTAGCTATTACAACCTGTGCCGCTATAAACATGGTTCATAGGAAAATGGATACAGATTGAAGATATACTCCTAAGTGAAACAAGTAAGTCACACATGTGTAAATACCGAATAGTCTCTCTGGTGTGAATAAACTGCAATAATACAGAAGATCCTAATGACATAACTGACATCGTGAAATGGGAAGAAAGGGGCTAAAGGTGTAGGGAAGGTGGGATGGGTAGGGGAAGGGTAATAAGGGAAAAGAAAAAAATGTGCGATAATGAGAAGATGGAAATAAAGTGGTTGTAGATGGGGAGGGGAGGAGGGGAGGAGGGGGTGAAGGGAGGGCAGGGACAAGGGGAAAAAATGAGAACCAAGACCTGTCATGCAAAGGTACAAGATCCCAACACTCAATGTAACTGTACTGTATCCCTAAAATGTACCAATAAGCTCAATTAAAGCTGATAAAAAAAGGATAAGTGCGTTTCTGTCAGTGTCTCAGTGCAGCACTAATCTGTGGAGGATGGGAGGGAAGGGGAGCTCTGGGAAAGGAGATCCAGGAAACAATTCAGATGTTTTGCTCAGGTACCAACTCAGCACAATGAGGGTAATCATAATGTGCTAAAAACATGCACTGGGCCCAGGGATTTAGCTCAGTGGTTCCAGAGCCTGCCTCGCAAGCGCAAGGACCCGAATTGGATCCCCAGTACCAAAAACCAAAAAAAAGCACTAACAGAACTTTCAAATCACGAATTTGTACACTTAAGATGTTAATAATGGCAATTTAAAAATCTTATCTGGGTAGCAAAATAATAGTGCAGCAAAAATACTGAAAGAGGATAATATCCTAGTAAAATATCAAACATATTCCAAGGCTACAGTAATTAGAAAAGTGCCCAGAGCACAGACAGTAGATTAAAAAAAAAAAAGTAGGACAGCGTCTTTCTTCTGTCACCTCTCTTCGTATGAAAACACACCAGAGACAGATACACAGACAGACAGACAGACACACACACACACACACACACACACACTGATACGCACAAACACACACAAAACAGAGGCCCAGGCCTCACAGAGGGCCATGCCATTGTCCGTAGATTCTCTTTCCGTCTCTCAGTTTCACTTTCATTTCCTGCCTGGCTGCTGCAGAGCACCCTTAGAGAATAAATCCTGCACCCGGTGCCTGGTCTGTTACCACTTCCACACGGAATCTGAAGTCTCCAGAGGTGTCCAAAGGTGTGTTAAACAATCTGTGGTGGGTAGAGCTCGGAAGACTTTAGAAGAAAAAGCTGCATTTGCTTGGGTGCCTTAACTTCCTTGTTTGGAAGCCTCTGTGGGGGTGGGGAAAGGTCGGACTTGCAGGCTTCCTGCTGCCATAGATCCTGAACCCTGGAAGGAGTGGGGTTTAAAGAAGGGAAGTCTCCCTCTCTCCCAGAGGGACAGCACCTGGTCCACCCTGCCTGCCACCCACCCCAGCCCTTCCTCCTTCCTGGCCTATGCTGGCCAACTTTTCCTTGGCTGACCGCCCCTGAATACTGTCCTGCAGGGGTCCTCTAAACAGCAGGGCCAGAGCAAGAGGGATCCTCGTAAACCAACAGTGGTGGGTTTTGCAGTGTACTAATGTGTTTCACTCTACAGGTGGCTGTGTTTGCGAGGTAGGTAGGATACTTTTTGTGATTACTGACACGGATAATTTCTCCTTATTCTTCAGGAAGAGTCCTTAAGGGTTGCATCACTAGAGAGGTGTAACGTTTTCTCTTCCCTGTAGGCTTATGTGGCACCATAACCTAGCAGCTCTTCACATGGTAGCCATGTTGACATTTTCAAAATCAATGAGGATTGCTGGGAGTGGTGGTGCACACCTGTAATCCCAGCACTTGAGCGGCTGAGGCAGGTGGATCGCTGTAAATTCCAGACCAGCCTGGGCTACATAGTGACTTCTAGGTCAATCTCAGCTTCATAGTGAGACCCTGTCTCAAAACAAAAAACAAACAAATAAACAAAATCACTGAGGATCCTTTGTCTCTGTGAACAGCCTACTTATACATGTCATTTCTTTTCCCTAACACATTTCTATTTTTCATCCCATATATCCTTCATATTTTTAGGCTTTACTTAAACCCTTATCTTTTAGGTTGGAAATCCAGATTAACACTTTTTCCCCAACATTAATTTTGCAACTACAGTACATTTGTTTCTTTTTTTGGTACTGAGGATTGAACTCAGGTCCTTGCATTTGCAAGGCAGGTGGCAGAACCACTGAACTAAATCCCCAGCCCTACAGTACATTTCTTTGGTAGGGTTTGTCACATCTTATCTTTCTGATAATTGTATTCCTGTGATTTTCAAGTTGAAAGTCAAGACCATCGTGATCTTTGGAAACATGTTTGATATCTCTTTGGCATCATCTTTGTTTTTAGATTGTAGTCTAGCTGCTAGCACATAATCCATCACCATTGATCATTTGCCAGGTGGTCACATCTAGCTTTTGGGGGCTCCTCTTTTAAAGCTGACGTCCATTTTCTCTGGGATTATGTTTTTCAGGTCTCTGACATGTGTGAATCTGAAAGTATGCTTATGTCATCTCCCTCCCTAGTATACAGAGGCACATATACCAGAGGCTCATTTCCATGTCCCTGGTAAATTTCAAGGCCACCATAAAATCCTATCATTTATAAACATGATTCTCCAGAACCAACTAGCAGTCGGAAGTGTGCTTCTCCACCCATGTGGTTCTGAGTATTAGTTATGCCTGGCTAGCTGCCTCTACTGTTGTGAATGTGTGATGGTAAAGACTTGTGGAGGAGGGCTGAGTGGGTTAAGTTAATTCCAGCTGAAAGTAACAAAGACAGAGTGTTATCCTGGTTCACAAGCTCAACTCTTTTCACAATTCTGGCTGAAAACTAAACTGGATGAGAAATAAATCTGATTTTCCCATAAGCTCAACATGGAACCTAAGCACTGAATTGGATTTAGTTCTCATCGGACTCAGGTTGCAACCACAATTGTGGAAAAAAATCAAATTGATGAACCTAGGTGCAACTGTGTTGTCTTTGTTTTTTTTGTTTTTGTTTTGTTTTGTTTTGTATTTTGAGACAGGGTCTCACTATGTAGTTGAGACTGAACTGGAACTCACTATGTAGCCCAGGCTGGTCTCGAACTCACAGCCATCCTCCTGACTCAACCTCCCGAGTGCTGCGATTACAGGCGTGCGCCACCACCCCTGGCTCAGTGTATTGTCTTTGGCAGTCATTTCATCTTCTTACATCTAATGAAAAGATTAGTTTTATTTAGTGGTATGAAAAAGAAATAACTGCACATGAATAGCAAGCCACGGAACTGTTTGGATGAGGTAGTTAGAGCAGCTCTGTCTGAGAAGATGCCTTGTACAGGAAGTATAAGGTTGAGACCAAATCGATATCAAAGTTAGTGTCCTCTGAAATTAAAACTTTGGTGCTTTTAAAAATAAGGATGCAATTTTGGTGGAGACAGAAAAATGCCGATTATACAAGAATTTCAGTATAAAAAGACTCCATATATCCTTCTGGCCAGTAAAAGAAGGGAACATAACAGTCATTCTATGTGTAATATCTGTTATCACATGATAGGAGCTGTGAATAAAGTTTCACAAAGTTAGTGTCCTCTGAAATTAAAACTTTGGTGCTTTTAAAAATAAGGATGCAATTTTGGTGGGGACAGAAAAATGCCGATTATACAAGAATTTCAGTATAAAAAGACTCCATATATCCTTCTGGCCAGTAAAAGAAGGGAACATAACAGTCATTCTATGTGTGATATCTGTTATCACATGATAGGAGCTGTGAATAAAGTTTCTGAAATTATGATGACATAATTACTATTGTGTCAGCAGGCATTTTTTCTTCTTTCTTTCATTCCTTTTTCATTGCTGACTTGTAAATATTTTGTTCTTGATGTCTACGTGATTTTGGCCTAGTCAGTATTCATTCAGTCCCTTCCTACCCTCTGACTCTGCCCCATTTTAATCTTCCCAAACATCAGGGTCCAGAACAGGAGGAAGCTCAGGAGTCAGGACAGACA